ACCTCATCCTTCTAGACCCATCCGCTGACACGTTCCACTCCCCAAATATCTGAATACCATTCACTCCTCCATACTCTCTCCTCCAATCTGATTCCAATCTTTCATCACCTAATCTTTTTGTTATCCTCATAACCTTACTCTTTCCGGTATTCACTTTTAATTTTCTTCTTTTGCACACCCTACCAAATTAATCCACCAATCTCTGCAACTCTTTCAGAATCTCCAAGGAGCACAGTGTCATCAGCAAAAGATGCAACTGTGACAACTCCCACTTTATGTGTGATTCTTTATATTTTAACTCCACGACGTCTTGTCAAAACCCTCGCATTTACTTCTCTTACAACCCCATCTATAAATATATTAAACAACCATGGTGACATCACACATCCTGTCTAAGGCCTACTTTTACTGGGAAATAATTTCCCTCTTTCCTATGTGCTCTAACTTGAGCCCTCATATCCTCGTAAAAACTCTTCACTGCTTTCAGTAACATACCTCCTACACCATACACCTGCAACATCTGCGACATTGCCCCCCTATCCACCCTGTCATACGCCTTTTCCAAATCCATAAATGCCACAAAGACCTCTTTAGCCTTATCTAAATACTGTTCACTTATATGTTTCACTGTAAACACCTGGTCCACACACCCCCTACCTTTCTAAAGCCTCCTTGTTCATCTGCTATCCTATTCTCAGTCTTACTTTTAATTCTTTCAATAATAACTCTACCATACACTTTACCAGGTATACTCAACAGACTTATCCCCCTATAATTTTTGCCCTCTCTTTTGTCCCCTTTGCCTTTATACAAAGGAACTATGCATGCTCTCTGCCAATCCTAGGTACATTACCCTCTTCCATACATTTATTAAATAATTGCACTAAACCACTCCAAAAACTATATCCCCACCTGCTTTTAACATTTCTATCTTTATCCCATCAATCCTGGCTGCCTTACCCCCTTTCATTTTACCTACTGCCTCACGAACTTCCCCCACACTCACAACTGGCTCTTCCTCACTCCTACAAGATGTTATTCCTCCTTGCCCTATACACGAAATCACAGCTTCCCTATCTTCATCAACATTTAACAATTCCTCAAAATATTCCCTCCATCTTCCCAATACCTCTAACTCTCCATTTAATAACTCTCCTCTCCTATTTTTTACTGACAAATCCATTTGTTCTCTAGGCTTCCTTAACTTGTTAATCTCACTCCAAAACTTTTTCTATTTTCAACAAAATTTGTTGATAACATCTCACCCACTCTCTCATTTGCTCTCTTTTTTACATTGCTTCACCACTCTCTTAACCTCTCTCTTTTTCTCTATATACTCTTCCCTCCTTGCATCACTTCTACTTTGTAAAAACTTCTCATATGCTAACTTTTTCTCCCTTACTACTCTCTTTACATCATCATTCCACCAATCGCTCCTCTTCCTCCCGCACCCACTTTCCTGTAACCACAAACTTCTGCTGAACACACAAACACTACATATTTAAACCTACCCCATACCTCTTCGACCCCATTGCCTATGCTCTCATTAGCCCATCTATCCTCCAATAGCTGTTTATATCTTTCCCTAACTGCCTCCTCTTTTAATTTATAAACCTTCACCTCTCTCTTCCCTGATGCTTCTATTCTCCTTGTATCCCATCTACCTTTTACTCTCAGTGTAGCTACAACTAGAAAGTGATCTGATATATCTGTGGCCCCTCTATAAACATGTACATCCTGAAGTCTACTCAACAGTCTTTTATCTACCAATACATAATACAACAAACTACTGTCATTTTGCCCTACATCATATCTTGTATACTTATTTATCCTCTTTTTCTTAAAATATGTATTACCTATAACTAAATCCCTTTCTATACAAAGTTCCATCAAAGGGCTCCCATTATCATTTACACCTGGCACCCCAAACTTACCTACCACACCCTCTCTAAAAGTTTCTCCTACTTTAGCATTCAGGTCCCCTACCACAATTACTCTCTCACTTGGTTCAAAGGATCCTATACATTCACTTAACATCTCCCAAAATCTCTCTCTCTCCTCTGCATTCCTCTCTTCTCCAGGTGCATACACGCTTATTATGACCCACTTCTCGCATCCAACATTTATTTTAAATTTCCACATTAATTCTTGCATTTACACATTCATATTCTCTTTTCTCCTTCCATAACTGATCATTCAACATTACTGCTACCCCTTCCTTTGCTCTCTCTCAGATACTCCAGATTTAATCCCATTTATTTCCCCCCCACCGAAACTCCCCTACCCCCTTCAGCTTTGTTTCGTTTAGGGCCAGGCACCCAACTTCTTTTCATTCATAACATCAGCAATCATCTGTTTCTTGTCATCTGCACTACATCCACGCACATTCAAGCAACCCAGTTTTATAAAGTTTTTCTTCTTCTCTTTCTTAGTAAATGTCTACACATATATATACAGTATATATATATATATATATATATACATATATATTGTAGGTAGTAGGTTAGTAGACAGCAACCGCCCAGGGAGGTACTACCGTCCTGCCAAGTGAGTGTAAAACGAAAGCCTGTAATCGTTTTACATGATGGTAGGATTGCTGGTGTCTTTTGTCTGTCTCATAAATATGCAAGATTACAGGTAAGTCTTGCTACTTCTACTTACACTTAGGTCACACTACACATACATGTACAAGCATATATATACACACCCCTCTGGGTTTTCTTCTATTTTCTTTCTAATTCTTGTTCTTGTTTATTTCCTCTTATCTCCATGAGGAAGTGGAACAGAATTCTTCCTCTGTAAGCCATGCGTGTCGTAAGAGGCGACTAAAATGCCGGGAGCAAGGGGCTAGTAACCCCTTCTCCTGTATATATTACTAAATTTAAAAGGAGAAACTTCAGTTTTTTCTTTTGGGCCACCCCACCTCAGTGGGATACGGCTGGTACGTTGAAAGAAAGAAAAGAATACATATATATATATATATACATATATATATACACATATATATATACATATTTATATACACATATTACAGTATATAATACATGCATAAATTATGTGTTAATTGACTGTTCATGTTATCGGTATGGCTTCCAATCAACAGTAGGCTATTAGTAGTTAAGTTTTTGAGTCAAGTGGACTTTCGACTGTGCGGGAGGGGGAGGGGGGAGGGTCGGCACCACTAACTCCTGCATTGTTCAATGGTCAACTGTGTTTGAATCTCAGCATAGTCATAAACATGATGAAAAGAGAGAAGAGGCTGTAAAAAATGGGTAAGACTCAACAAAGGAATACTAGTTGAATGCCAGACTGCAGACCCACCCATTTCTTTGGTACTAGACATGCAAAGGAATGAAGAAGGTAACGAGATTTCACTTTAAACAGGCTTGCACTAAACAAGAACTCCTGTGTTTAATAGCCTTGGTCCAAAATATTTAGACCCAAAAAAGGAAACAATAAGTTCAAATGACTGAAAGACTGAATTAATTAATATGCTCGGTGTTGCTAAATTATATGATTGGATGATAGATTAATTTATGAAAATATGTTAATCATACTTACTCATTATAATCTCTCTCAACTGCTTCTTTCAGGACAGATATTTCTTTCTGAATATTTTGAATTTTGCGCTCAGCAGTATTAAATTGCATCTGCTTGTCCTTGTGCTTCATTTTAGCATCGACCATATCTTCCCTAGCCTTTTTCACCTTTGATGAAAGACCCTTTATCTTGCTGGATATATTGTTAAGTTCTTCTTGGATCTTTCTGCAAGAAAATAGATATATAAATTCTGTTTAGCCTATTTTATTTAATGTTTAAGAACCATCTCCTAGGTAGAAAGTTGGAAGACAGCAACCACCCAGGGAGGTATTACCGTCCTGCCAAGCGAGTGTAAAACGGAAACCTGTAATTGTTTTGTATGATGGTAGGACTGCTGGTGTCTTTTTTTTGTCTCAAACATCCAAGGTTTCAGGTATGACTTGCTACTTCTACTTACACTTGGGTCACACTGCACATGCATAGAGAAGAATATATATATATTCATATATATACACACCCCTCTGGGTTTTCTTCTATTTCCTTACTAGTTATTGTTCTTGATTATTTCCTATCTCCATGGGGAAATGGAATAGAATTCTATCTCCATAAGCCATGCATGTCGTAAGTGGCAACTAAAATGCCGGGAGTGAGGGGCTAGTAACCCCTTCTGTATAAATTACTAAACTTAAAAAGAGAAACTTTTGGTTTTCTTATTAGGTCACTGCCTCTGTGGGATATGGTCGGTTTGTTAAAAAAAAAAAAAAATAATTTCTCAAGGAACCAACCTCAAAGGGGTGCTCAATAAAATTATTTTTTCTCTAATTTACCCTATTAGTACTGCACTGTATGCATTAGAACTGTACAGTATAGAAGCTATCAATCAATCCTGAAAAAATGAAAGCACATGCATTTCTCAGGTATCATTACCTGAGAAAATTTTTGGGGTAGAAGGAAAGGGGTAGGGATCATCCTTGGAAGGGGTAGAGGGGATGAGAGAGGTTTTTGAATGCTAGGAGCTTGAGCACCCAGCAGGCTAGTGTAATTATTTTCGGTGTGGAGACAGTTTTTATGACGTGACATGCTGTTGGAGTGTGTGCAATGTAACAGTTATGAATGGATTTAGAAAAACCAGCTAGTTGGACCTGAGTCCTGGCAGTGGGAGATACAGTGCCTGCACTTTGAAGGAGTGGGGATAGTGCATTTCAGGACATTTGAATTGGGATCTCTGTACATTTTTGGCAAGACTACTGAATAAATGATAAAAATCTGTTGAGTGTGAATAATACTTGAATGTTATTGTACGTTCAATGTAGTAATCAATCTGCTCACCTATATAAATTCTGCTCCTCTTCACTCTTAGTTGCATAAGAGCTGATTTTATCTTGAACTGCTTTCACTGAGCTTTCATGCCTTTCAAGTTCTTTATGGGAAGCTACTTCTTCCTTTTCTGCTTGAATAATCTATTGAAAGAAAAGTAATTTCTTAGGCAATGTGCTTGAGATTTAAATAAAGATAATAAAAATGGACTCGTCAAGAAGTTTAACTGGCTTTAATCTATCCAATAAAAGGCAATATTGCTACATAAAGAAATTTTTTATAGGGATCACCTTGATGGGAAATAGATGTGGTAAAATAAAAAGATCATGGAATGTCATATAGACAAATTTATTAACAAGTCACTGCCACCAATGAATATACTATGTTAAGCAAAAATAAAGGATGGCCTTTTTTATAAATAAATGAAATGTTTTCTTAACAAAATATCCTGAACTGCACATTGCATCGTATTTACCTACTTTTTGGTATTATGTTTCTGATGACATACAATACTGACACATTGATGAATAAGACACATTTGCAACACTTGGATATCTTTACTACCAAAATGTTTCCCCTGCATAACAAGCTTCTTCAGTTGAATGCAGGCAAATTCTGGTGACAGTAGTAGTAGTTTAGACGTGATCAGTTCATCATCCTTTGTAGGAGGTGGTTGGTCCCTCAAGGCTTGAAGGACAGACCACTACTTACGTGATAGACTGAGCATGTCAAGACTACTACTCCTGTCTCCAGAATTCATCTGCATTCGAATGAAGATGCCTGTTGTGCAGGGAAAATGTTTCAACAATAAAGATAGCCAAGAGCTGCAAATGCCTCTTATTCATCAATCCCATCGGTGTATTCTGCAATTAACATACATATCCCTCTAAGACGGATACAGAAGCTGAGAGGCAAGAGTTGAGAAAATGAGAAACAATCAGAATACACAAAAATACTCCAGAGCATAAGCAAGGTAAACACAGAAGCTAATTGATACAGGACAAGGGAACCCATGGCACATGAGCAAGGAAGTGAACCATAAAGAAATTAGAAAGCATTTTTGCAGAATAATAAAAAAAGAACTGAAAGACTGATATATCACATTAGCCCATCAAAACTCAGCAAGGACAATAAAATTAATCAATCTTATACATATACGGGAGGTTAGGTTCCAGGCTACTGCCGGAAAGAAGACATCGCCGGAAAGCAGAACGCCATTTTTTCCACTTATAAATGCCTATAAATGCCAGACAACAAGTTTACACTAACTTATATTAACAGTTTGACTGTTCTGGCCATATACATATATATGTCTTACGAGCCAGTGTTTCGGACGTATAATGTATAAAAGTATAGTGGTAGCAACACTCTTATATGGATGTGAAGCTTGGGTTGTAAATGCTGCAGCAAGGAGATGGTTGGAAGCAGTGGAGATGTCATGTCTAAGGGCAATGTGTGGTGCAAATATTATGCAGAAAATTCAAAGTGTGAAAATTAGAAGGTGTGGAGTTAATAAAAGTATTAGCCAGAGGACTGAAGAGGGGTTGCTGAGGTGGTTTAGTCATTTAGAGAGAATGGATCAAAGTAGAATGACATGGAGAGTGTATAAATCTGTAGGGGAAGGAAGGCGGGGTACGGGTTGCCCTTAAAAAGGTTGGAGGGAGGGGGTAAAGGAGGTTTTGTAGGCAAGGGGCTTGGACTTCCAGCAAGTGTGCATGAGCGTGTTAGGATTGATTGGAGACGAATGGTATTTATGATCTGATGAGCTGTTGGAGTGTGAGCAGAGTAATATTTAGTGAAGGGATTCAGGAAAACCAGTTATTTTTATATAGCCGAACTTGAGTCCTGGTAATGGGAAGTACAATGCCTGCACTTTAAAGGAGGGGTTTGGGATATTGGCAGTTTGGAGGGATATGTTGTGTATCTTTATATGTATATGCTTCTAAACTGTTGTATTCTGAGCACCTCTGCAAAAACAGTGATTATGTGTGAGTGAGGTGAAAGTGCTGAATGATGATGAAAGTATTTTCTTTTTGGGGATTTTCTTTCTTTTTGGGTCACCCTGCTTCAGTGAGAGACAGCCAACTTCAAAAAAAAAAAAAAAAAAAAAAAAAAATTCAAATCGAGCAGGAGAAAGCTGGTAGGCCCATATGTGAGAGAATGGGTCTATGTGGTCAGTGTGCACTGTATAAAAAAATCCTGTAGCACACAGTGCATAATGAGAAAAAAAAACTCTGACCGTGTTTTTGAATTAAAAAGCTGACTTTGAGGCGTATTTTCGTATAGTATTTATTGTTGTATTCTCGTTTTCTTGGTCGCATTTGACAGAATGGAAAACATACTACAGAAATAGAGATGATTTTGATTAGTTTCATGATGAAAACGACCTTGAAATTGATCTCAAAACTGTAGAAATGTTCAATTTTTGCCAATGTTCAAGAGTAAGCAAATGACACCACACGTCCAATACACATAACTGGGGAGTCTAATATTCTTTCACTAGTGCACTGATATTATTTATACCAATTTTACAATAATGCAGTAGTCTCCATATCAGTAAATCTTCTATTTTTTGTGTGAATAAAAAATAAAAATAAAAAGCAAGAGTAATATAAGAGGGGCCTGGAGACATGACTAATGAACAGAGGATATGTTATTTTAGTGCCAACAATGTCCATTATTTATTCTGGACCCTATTTTGAAATTGGCATCTTTTTTAACTTGCATGAAATTGGCCAAATTGCCAATTTCTGACCACTTTATTGGGTAGTTGAAATCGGTAAATGGGCGGTTTTTTGTGCTCAATTGATAGAAAAAATGGAGTTCTAAAGAAATAGCTATGAGTTTGGTCGACTGGAACAATGGAAATGACTGAAAATAGGGCTCAAATTCGGCGAAATCACTGATGAGTATATATCGCCAAGATCGCTAACTTTGTGGGAGCGTAATTCTTTAAGTTTTCAATCAAGTTTTGTACTTTTGGTGTCATTACCATTGGGAAAAGATTTTCTATCATTTCATAAGAAAAAAATAATATTTTTTTTCCAAATATTTTGCAACATAGAATAACAGTTTCAGAAATGGGCTTGTGACAGTCAAAGGGTTAAGTTAATAATAGAACTAGGCATTAAAAACACAATAAGAAGTACAATACATACACAGTACATCCATTACTTATCTAAAATATTTGTAGTCTTAATGTAGGGCAAGAGGTGAGTAGTACTTACTTCTAGTAAGTCCGGTGTAGGTAACCAGGCACCCCGTCCCAAAGCAGATTGAGTGGATAGGGAAACAAGGTGGCAAATGGCGCAAGTGCAGTGGTACCTCGGGATACGAACAGCTTAAAACTTGAACAATCAAGTAAGTGTATTTATGTAAATGCTTTTGTAAGTGTATTTTTGTGGGCCTGAAATTACCTGGACCTGGAGTTTACCTGAAGAGAGTTCTGGGGGTCAACGCCCCCGTGGCCCAGTCTGTGGCCAGGCCTCCTGGTGGATCAGAGCCTGATCAACCAGGCTGTTATTGCTGGCTGCACGCAATCCAACGTACTAGCCACAGCCCGGCTGGTCAGGTGCCGACTTTAGGTGCTTGTCCAGTGCCTGCTTGAAGACAGCCAGGGGTCTATTGGTAATCCCACTTACGTATGCTGGGAGGCAGTTGAACAGTCTTGGGCCCCTGACACTTATTGTATTGTCTCTTAACGTGCTAGTGACACCCCTGCTTTTCATTGGGGGGATGTTGCATCGTCTGCCGAGTCTTTCACTTTCGTTGTGAGTGATTTTTGTGTGCAAGTTTGGTACTAGTCCCTCTAGGATTTTCCAGGTGTATATAATCATGTATCTCTCCTGCCTGCGTTACAGGGAGTACAGGTTCAGGAACTTCAAGTGCTCCCAGTAATTGAGGTGTTTTATCTCTGTTATGGGTGCCGTGAAGGTTCTCTGTACATTTTCTAGGTCAGCAATTTCACCTGCCTTGAAAGGTGCTGTTAGTGTGCAGAAATATTCCAGCCTAGATAGAACAAGCAACCTGAAGAGTGTCATCATATGCTTGGCATCCCTAGTTTTGAAGGTTCTCATTATCCATCCTGTCATTTTTCTAGAAGATGCGATTGATACAATGTTATGGTCCTTGAAGGCGAGATCCTCCGACATGATCACTCCCAGGTCTTTGACGTTGGTTTACAGGTCTCCCTCAACATTCACGAGGGTTAGGGGATCAAGAGCCTCGTGAATGTTGAAAAATCGCGATGTTTGGTGCCCCAATATATTGTAGGGAAATATAATACAATACTGCTTCCTTAACTTGTCAAACCATGAACAATCATAAAATACATGAAAACGTCGTAAATTGTACTAAATACATACGTTATGGCTTAATAACATGTATGTTAAATACCACTGCGAGTCCCTACTACCCTCCCTCTGACCCCCCACAACTGGCAGCCAGCCCTCCCACCACTCAGTGTGGTGAGTGTTTTGTTTGTTCATTATTTGCTATTAAACTACAGTATAAATAATGTCAACCCATTTATGACTGCATATTGGAATGGCTATTCGGACAGGTATTGGAAGGTGACATGTGTTTACTCTTGAACACAGCAAAGAATCAAACATTTGTGCTACTGCTACTACTAATAATAATAATAATAATAATAATAAATACGATAGAATTGAAGAAGGAAATTGTACAAAAATACGAGGGTTGAAGCAGTGGTTGACGCATCGTCAGTGTGGCTTTGTTTATGCTGGAGTGAGCATTGGTCTCCGTGCTCTTCCAAACATTTCACAATAATTCATTGTATTTGGTGCTTGTAGATTGAGTGTGACTTGAGTGGTTGAGGCAGTGGTAGAGGCAGTGATAGAGGCAGTGGGTGAGTGTTGCAACCCCTGAATGGGTTGCAATATATATAATGTATGTAATGATTATGTATATATATAATTATTACCTTTTCATATAATTTTATATTGCTTATATTTGCGATAATAGCTAAATCGTAAATGTATTGCTTTATATGGTTATTTGACTTAGTTATGTTGTTAGGTAGGATGTTACATATTATGTGCTCAGTTCAAGTCTTGATTGTCTAACTACTGTAATTATCGCTCTTTGCTCGTTAGACTGCCGGCTTATCGTTGTTGCTGGG